AAAAAAAAAAAAAGTAAATAAATAAAGAATAGCAAGTCACACACTGCAAGCCCTTCAGGGAACTTCTGGTGTGGTGCAGGTCAATGTCGCCAGGTCCACAGCATACATCTGCATCCATTGGCTGTTGCCCGCAGCCCATTGCATTGCTTGTGCTTGCCTCAGAATGCTTGCACAATTTCTGCACAGCACAGGAAGCTCATGGGGCTACATCATGGACACCAGCAGCTGCTTCTCTGTCTTGTAGCGGCTATCCCTCAGACTCTCTCCTTTGTGGCTATAATTCACGCAGTGCCTCGCCCTCGTCTTGCATTTAAGACGGTAGCAAAGGCTCTGAACCGCTTCAGTTACGCGGAGTTCCTTTCACTCCTTGTTGGCAAAGGGGGTCCTGGCAGGGGACTTGGGAGGGTTTGAGGGAAACGAAAGCTGCTTTCTGGCAGCAAGCTGTAGCTTTGACGTTCAGCACGATCATTCCCTGATCATGACCAGCATCGTTTGGGCCTGTGTCGGGCCTTTCTCTCTCGAGAATTTGAGCCTGGAGCGTGATCTCGAAAACCACCGAGGCCCTATAGGTGGGCCCACGAAGGGCTTTCGTGGCCGGAGCAGAAACCCGCTCAACGGCTAATGCAGGCACAAGCGATGCCGCGACAGCACCGCAATGATGTGCATCATTCAGGTTGCGGCTGCGTGGCATTCTGTGATATTCTGTGGTTCCGCTCTTGCAATGCACATTGCCCGGCCGCAAGCCGTTGCATTACGTCGGCACGTTGGCACGTGGTACCACTCAGAAGCTGACGGATCCGCGGCCGCGGCCATGGTGCGCCCGGCTTGCTGAGCCTCACGGAGTCGTTTTCGGAAAGCTTCGGAGTGCCAGTGCCCAGCCTGGGCCGCCATCCACTGATCTCGGAGCCATTTCTGCTGCCTCTGCTGCTCCTCAGCCTCGAAAAGGGAAAGCTTCTGCGACACTCGACCAGTGCACGATGCGCCTGCTCCTTGAATTTGCTCTGGCTCTCTGCCTGCACGTTGTTGTAAGCATGCAGCGTGCAGGTTGCGTCGCAGTCCCCTTCGCTCCGAGGATTTGCACCCATCATCCAGCACGGAACATAGAATAGAGAGCTTCCCGCAACAAAAAAAACAACTGAAGCCAATATGAGCCCATGTCACACTGTGTCCTAGCCGACCGAGACTCCCATCACAGCACTGGGAACAGTCCTACAGTATGTTTAGAGATTCTGTCCCCGCGCTTGCCTCCTGCTGCCGGCGGAGCTGCCTGGCACGAGTGTGCGACAGATCACTGCGATTGTTGCAGCGCCACCACCCTGGCCGCAATACCCTTCGGGAAAGCATGCGAGAAAGACTCTTGCTGTTCTTCGTAGCGCCGTCGCCTTACGATCGCAGACTGCCCAACAGCTGCACAATCTGCAACTGCAAATCTAGGTTGCCCGGCTGCTCCGTCCTCTCTCTGAGGACTTGCTCCTGCTGCCGACGCTCCTGCTCTTCAGCGCGGAGCTTCTCCTGCGCTTTTGCGCTCTGTCGCGATTACATATTCAACTCTGCACCGCGCATCACCATGCCAGTCCTCTTCGGCTGCCTTCCATCCGCCAGTGATTTCTTTGTGCTTGGTGTCGAAGAACCTTAGTTTGTTGCGCGAAGTTGCAGGCTCAGGGGTTAGAAGGGTGCCTGAGATCAAAATTAGGATCTGGACTTGGCAATTGTCTGCTCTGACAGCGGGTTCTGCTTCTCCGCCTCGCCGGCGAAGCACACACACACACACACACACTTTTCCCACTGCACCCAGGCTGAACTGCTTCGCCCAACCTGTCTTCCCCAGGCCACGAACAAGTCTGTAAGTACCTCTTCCTTGGTCTCCTGCACAGCTCTGGTGGCCACAGCAGGCTGCGGAGCCAGGAATGCGGTGTCTGTTCTTAGAAAAGTACTATATAGACTATAGTTGTGGTGGGATGGACAACTGTGTTGAAAGAGGTCTGCCCCTCTCGTATGATGCCGATGCAACACATGGTCTCCAAATACTTGTCAATGTCAAGCGAGACAAGTGCGGAAGCAGCATGAGCTCAAGAAGCAAGACTGTATGGCAAGTTACTCATGTCATTTTTTTGGTCCTTGTTCGTGTGCGGCTTGATTTGGACCTTGATTCCATTGATGACGCACTCGTTGCCATCTTCCACTATGGCCTGCACGAGGTAGGCTTGAAGTGCGGAGGATCCCCACCGAAGAGCTTTGCTTCTATCCGTCGAAACACTGCCATGATTGCTTTGAAGCTCCGCCTGTCTCACTCTGACATCTGTCATCGAGACTACAGCGCAGCCCATGGAGCTATGCTTCCGCACGGTGACCACCTCACCGACCTGCATGCAGACTGTTTGAGAAGAGCCCGTTGAGACCCTGTTCACGTGATCTTCACCTGCTCGACGGCTTGGCGCCGAGGATCGTCAGAGCGATCGATTCGCTCTAGACGCTCCTGACACCACTCGTTGTGATCAATCCAAGGCCCCGCTGTCGGAGTTTTAAAATGCTTGAATATCAGGAGCCTTCTCGCCCTCTGTCTTCTCTCGTTCACCTAACAGGGCAGCGACTGACAAAGAAACACCTAGACGTCCAAGCGCGAGCCTTTTCCCTTCTTGCCCCCTTTCCCGCGACCTGCATTGGCTGTCAGAACCAAACTCACAAAACTTCCTGTTTCGTCCCAATTCCAATGCCCAGCCTTTTTCGCCGCGGTCCTGTCTGTCCCCTCTGTCATCTGCAATAGGCACAGAGCCGGGCGACACCTACAGTCAAGATGCAGATACATGTAGAAACGATCCCACTATGTGCTAGATCTTCATTCGCTCCGGTGAGGACGAGGCAACTGGTTGGCTGCCAAGCGCTGCAAGAATGTCCTGAATATTGTTACGGGGTCCCGCAGAAGGCGGATTTAGCACCGCATGTTCGTGCCCGAACTCTGCCTGCAGCTTTCTAGCTTTTCGAGTCCGCTGGCTTGCAGGTCCTACCAACGGCCTTTTCGTCGAGGTTTCAAAGCAAAAGCTTCAAGAGGTACTCGCCTTGCGGTTGAGCAATGTTGGTGGCGGAAGAATGCCGTGGGCAAGGGCGGTCCGACGGCCCGGGAGATGATTCTCTGGCGGGTCGGGGCCTGGCTCCAGGGCCAACAGATGTCTTGAAAGAATCGCCGGCTGCTCTTTTCTCATGCGCCGGACGTTAATGTGGGAAACTTTGTGTTCGGAAGAAAGAAAAGAAGAACGCAGAAAGCTGACATGACCAGGGCGAAGAAGCAGCAGAAGAAGGAGGCAGGGACAAGGGGACAAGTGCACGAGTCAAGACATTCGAGTTCATCTGGCCTCTAGACTACAGTCAAGAACCCGGTCCACGTTCTTGGAAACACTCACCATCACCAAATTTCATCCGCCATCAAGTTCGAAAGTGCCACGGCAACACGTCCTGCTGGGGCGGCAGGCTGTCGAGTAGCGGCTTTGTGGTTGGTGGTGCCACGTTCGGCATCGGAGCCTTGCATGCACAGGCGGTACCATTTCTAAGGCACTGCTGCCTTCGGAAACTAAGCTTGCAGCCGAAACTTGCGGAGGTGCCTGAGGCATCGGAGGAGCCTGTGTACATCTCGCTTTGCCGCTCTTGGCTTCTTCTTCTGAAACCCATCGAGCCAAGTATGTTGACATAACTTGAGCTCCGCACAGGCACCACGGGCGGAGCTGCCGGAGCCGCCAAGTGATCGCGCCTGTCAGAGTCACATACTGGCCTCGATGTGCGAAGATGTGCTGAGGCCGTGACTCCAGCTCCTCCAAAGTTAGAGCATTTTCGGGCAAGGCCTGCAGGCATCCGCTCCGTCGCGGCTGATTCCAGTGCCCATGAATGCATGGGAAGCCTTTGGCATGCCCAATGTCTGTTCGCCCTCCATCATCCGCTCGTGCACCGGAAGGTGGCCCAGTGTCCACTGATCCAGGCCACCCTGACAGACATGCTGTCGATGATCTCAGGCCAGAACGATTCGGGAGAGGGTGGAGCACCTCTCCATCTGGCTGCACGGAAGTGTCTGGCCTTGTCGCGATAGCAGCTGGGTGCATCATGAATCTAAGGTCGTACGGTTTGCCTGCGTGCATGGGTGAGCTGAGATTGCGTCATATCCCACAGGACACCTTCTCCGTCGTCGTCCTTTCAAGTTGTGCTGCACTTTGGCAGATGACCACACGTCGCTAGACGATAATCCCATGCCTCCTCGGCTACTGGCTCTTTCTTGTCCTGCGCCCACATCGCAAGAAGCTGGCGCTTGCACAGCAAGTCTGAATGGGCACTGCTTGCAGGTTCTTGCTAGCTTGCCTTGTAGCCTTTTCTGCGGCTGCCAGCCTTGTCTGCTGCATCCCAGCTGCAAGCGTCCGATGACGTGCCACAGCTTCTGCGCGCCTTTTCCCACTGGCCGCCCCACCAGCCATCTTCCGCCTGCAGATTCCGACAGGCCGTAGCTTCATCAGTCTACAGGCTGCTTTGGCCCACGGCCTGCCCTTTCGAGTTGCTCCAGTCGTCTCGCCAGGACTCCCACTCCCAGCTCTTGCTGTTCTGCGGCCAGGCGTGAGGTGCTGATCGCATGTGGCAAGGAGCAGAAATATGCAGGCGCACCCATGATGCGTTGCCGCCACTTTCCCACCTTGGCCAGGCCATGCCGTCCCCGACAGCCGGACGCACCAGACAAAGCTGAGGCAAACTGCCATTGTCCACCCTGCCACTCCTGATCATCGCTGCTCTGCCTTCAAGCCACACAGCACACGCCCGAAGGTCTCTATACACCATACCGGCTTGCGTGTGCATCTGGCTGACAGGCCGTGCGACCCTCTAGCAGCCAGCATCTAGACATCTGGATGATGCGACTTCTTCAGCAAAGCTTTCACAGCCCACGAAATGAGGCGTGCCGCATGCTATTGAGTCCGAGACTTCGTCCCGGCAAAGAGGATCGCGGGATCGGGTGGCAGGGAAGCTGGCAAAGAAGGGCTTTAACACGACATTTCTGCAGCAGACAAAGCAATCACGAGTAGGCCTGCTGGCATTTCTGGCTCGGTACCATTTTTACCGCCTTTGCCTGAGACGCCCCCACTCAGTGGCATCACAACGCCGCAAAGCTCAGTGCGTGCACTGACGACCAGCTGCGCCTCCACGCTTTGCGCCTTGCAGTTTTTGCAGATCGGATGGAGCTTCACGGAGTCACTTGGCTGAGACTTTTTGTCCATGCTGGGACAGGGACGCTCAGCTTCTCTAGCTTCTTTGGCTGCCTTCCTGACATGCAGATGACGGCTCACGCATCCGAGAATGCCTTGTATGCTTCAGCGAGCTAACTGCTAATAGTCTGTGCCTCTCCGCTTCGCGACGCTGCTTCTCCTGCTCTTTCTCAAGACGTTCCTTGGGTCTCTTAACTGCTGCAAGCAACATACTGGTTAGCTGGGACAGCGCAAGCTGCCGAGACCCTCTGAGAGCTTGTCTTGCTCTTTCTTGTCCTCTTCTTCCTTGAGTTTCCTCTCCTCCTCTGCGAGGACTGTATCAAACGCTGCCGACCCCGCCACTTCCATCCGTGCCTTCGCTTGCTTTTTGTTTTTGACTGTGCCCCACTCTTCTTGCTCGTGGTTTGCACGATCCTGTCGTGGCAGGATCAAGACCAGACAATGCTGGCTTTGCCGCTCATGATATCTCTGCATGTCACTAACGGGAACAGATGATGCAGGGTCTGGTCGAGAGTCAGGTCCAGAAAGCTTTGGCGCAGCACAACCGCCAGCCAAACGGGTAAATACACTAATATGAATCAAGACAGAACACAGTGGATGAGCATGTCGACGGTGCGAGAAATCGCTCCGACAACATCAAGTGCTCTGGTTGGATGTACGGGCGATCGCTCGATCTCGGCGTTGGCAAGGCACCGGTGACGCCCAGTCAACCACGAGCGCATGGCAAATGATGCACAGGGCGCAAAGCTAGGCTGCTGCAACAGCGCCTCGACAATGTTGGCCACAGCTACCTGAATTTGATGCCTCGGTGCTGCAAACGTCTGAATTCGTTGGCGCCTCCTCGTTGTCGCATTAGACACATCACACAAGCAGCACTTGACACGTAATGCCTGTAGGGCTTTGACTCATCGTAATGACACCGCCGAACTAAAGCAGCGATGTCGTTTCGCGAGTACTCGAAAAAGTCGAGGACATCCGTCCTGAGCTCAGGGAGCTAGCTGGCTAATCGATTTGCCAGGCGCTTCTGTCGAGCTCTAGTCCAAAGTGCACTGACATGACAAGAGAAAACATGGGACGTACTCGGAAACGACGGCAATGGTTGTCTCGCATCGTTAGCTCTGTTTAATGTTGTGATTTTGTCGGATGCACTGGATATGGACGTCTTTCAGGTAGTGGAAACGGGTAATGCGGTTATCCACTCGGTCGAAGCTGAATACCATGACTGGCATGCAACACTTATCTGTTTTCCTGATATCGGTTGGGAGGACTACGTACCTCACTTCGCCTTGCCAGTACATTGAGTGCTCGGCAGCTGCTGGATATGCCTCTCGGTTCGTGGAGAGTACCTTAGGCAAGCTTCATGTGGACGCCGCTTACGTCTGTCTCTGTCAGGGTGGCCTGAAATTCAACTGACTGGGAAAGCAGCGTCTTTTCGTCAGCATCGCCCTTTGAAGCAGCAACCTGCAGGTGAGCAGCCCAGGCCTCGTCGGTGTTCCTTTGCAAGAGCTCTGAGGCATGTACGGTTTCGAGAACTCGAAGCTGCTGGGCAACGCGGACATCGTTGCTGGCCGGAGCCTCTCTGCACGGACTTTCTGGCAAGCGAAGGAATCTAATCCTCATGACTCGCAAGTGAAATCCAAGGACCCCGGCGGCGGCAGGTGGCGCCCCGTTTTCTATCGTGGCAGCCGGCGGCTGCGCCTGAAGCTTGACATGTTGTGCTCAACTGCTTTCCGACCTGGCCGGCTAGCATTGAGCCTTCTTCTTGGTCACGACCTTTTTAGACATGGCCAGACCCAGACCTAGGCATCACACCGAAGCAGGCAGCAAAGGCCAAAGTCCACTCAGCTCCCACCTGAGGGCAAGGGTGCCCCAGGCCTCTGCCCTAGGGGCAAGCCCAAACCTATCAGGTGGGCAATCTTCGAGCCAACTTCCCTGGACCAAGTGCCAAGGCGCCCCATGTCCGTCGAAATGACACTGTGCAGGCGGAAACAAGACCCAAAAAAGCACTCTGTTTTGAGACGCTGATTCGCTCATTTGTGCGCTAACGGTTCCTGGACATGCCTCCAGCCTTTCAAGCTCTATCTGTGAAGGCATCCGATGCGATCGCAGCAAATTACAGCTCTCGCGGGGAAGTGCGGTGCAGCAAGCACCATCATTTCTCAGACTTTTCGGCCTGATCGGATTTATCAGACCTTTCTGTTGTCTCAGCTCTGTCGCTTCTTGCACCTGCACGACAATGCAGCAATGCAAGAAATCTGCTGCACCAGCTACAACTGCAATGTCACACCCGTGTCAGCCCTCGCACCGTGTGCTTCTTTTCTTTGCCAACCTGCCATCTGAGAGAATACCTAGTCGCAAACTCTGCTCCTGCCGTCTGTTTCCTGAATCCGGGCTTTCTGTTGCCAACTCGTCCTTACGAGTATGCTGTGTTTATGTATCTATCCTGTATCCATTTCGCTGGCCTCGAGCATCATCTTTGTCCTTCCGCTGCCAGGACCAACCTCATTTCGGAGAGCATTGCAACACAGCAGACTCAGGCTTAAGGGACTTCTGCGCGCCCACGTATCCAGTGCTCACTTGGGGGGCGGCTCCGTCCTCTTTTCCAATCGTTCCCCCACCAACCATCACTATCCTGGGAGGAGGATACGCAAGAGACAGGTCTGGCGAGCAATGGCGATCGCCTGCGACTTGTCCCAGTCATTCCACTTCTTGTTCCACTCCCAGCGGCCATTCTGGCATGAACAACAATACAACGGCTGAGGCCAAGCATCGCAACCGGCTGCGTTCAAGGCCCAGCCCTATACGTACATTGACGGAGATACAGTAAAGATGCGCCGCATCCACACCACGCATTACCGGGGCCCACAGGCCCATCTTCCCGAGGTGATCCGAACAGAGCGCAAGCAACACAATACGGTCTGCAGCAGGTCCTAAACCTGTATTAGATGATTCAGCGCACTTCTGGTCCACAGTAAAGAGGCGAGCCGTTACGTACGTGCGTAAGAGTCGCGACACTCGAGCCACTCAGCAGTCCTCGTTTTAGACAAGACCAGCAAACACATTCCGATTTTGTCGGCATGCAGGAACGACACGAAGACTGTTGCGGCCCCGCTTGAAAGCTCCCTTGGCCGCACGGAATACTTTCGAGGCGGGTCTTAGATGACCTGGAGGTGACCTAGCCGACCTAGCCTTGGTAGAGGATGTGAAATTCACATCTACGAGATCCGATTGAACAGAAGATGCATCCTTGCCTGAGGCTTGGCTCCATCATCTTCACGCCAGGACTCCCAGTCCCAACTCTTGTTCTGCACGAATCAGGCATGTCCGAACAGCAAGCACGTCTGCAAATCAAGCTTGCACTGAATGTGTGAGGGCGCACCCATCTCTCGCCAGAGCCTTCCCACCTCAGTCAACGACGTGAGATGGAACGTAAACCCCTAAACCCTTAAAACCCTAACCCCTAAACCCTTAAGCCCTAACCCCTAAACCATAACCCTAAACCGAGGGTGCACTGCCCTGGCTCTGCTTTGCTCTGAGAACCACACCACTGGCCGCCTTGCCAGTGCTCTTTGTCCTTCTCTTTGTCCTTTTCTGGCTCCTTCTCTCTGACCTTCTCTCGCTCCTTGTCCACCTCCTTGTCCTTCATGTCCTTCATGTCCTTCATGTCCTTCTCCTCCTTCGCAGGCTCCTTCTCCTTCGGCTTCTCCTCTGCCTCCTTCTCCTTTGGCTTCTCCACCTCCTTGGGCTTTGGTTTCTCCGGCTCCTTCTCCTTCGGCTTCGACTCCTCCTTGTGATCACCGTTTTGCCTTGGGGCCCCGTGAGAGCGTTAGCTCTCCCAAGACATGATTGCAGGAGGGCATTTCCCTTCTTCAGCTCCAGACTCTGGCTTGGGCCCCGCAAAGAGGATGGCCGGGTCCGGCGGGAGGGCGGAAGCTGAGGCAGGCACCAGCGTCTTCAAGTCTTCGTGACTAGGGATGCTGATACGTCGTGAAACAATAACTTTGTTGTGCGTCCGTGAAAGCACAATACCGCCAACATATACCTGACCTTGCTGAGAGGCATTGGTGCGGCCGCTGTCGGATGTAAAGCGCTCCGAAAGCGGGGGACAAGCAGTCACGTCGTTCGTCTGAATTCACTTAAGTGCTGAAGGGCATCTCGACAGCTTGGAACTGAACAGGACTAGAGGCTGCATCCCAGAACATCAGCGTAGCCTGAGGACGTATCGTGGTGGAAGCCATTCTTGCCGGCCCCTTTGCCTCCTGAAGCTGTGTTTCGAAAGCAGACTTCTAAAACCCTGGTAAAGCGTGCAGAACGCCCCGCCTCCGCCTTTGCCTGCCTTTGGGAAAGACTTTGGGGCGGCCACGCCATTCACGGCTTCTCGAGCTTTGGCAAGCTCTGCTTCGCGAGCATCTGCCGCAGCTTTCCTGCTCTCAGCAATGCTACACCTGACTATGAAGCTCGTCACGACTTTAGGGAGGACCTCTCAGCTTCTCGGCGCTTGTTCTCCTCCTCCTTCTGCTGTCGCTCCTGTGCAGCTTCCACCCACAACTGGCACGTGCCCAAAGATAGCAAAGCCGTCCTGATCTTTCCTCTCCTGCTCCTTTTTGTCCTCCTCCTCCTTGATCTTTTTCTGCTCCTCAGCATGCCAAGCAGCAAGCAAGCCACGACCGGGAATTTTCCAGTGCACCACCCAACATCACAAGATCGTCAGGGCTTGGCAAGTTGGATTTGGCCAAGGGGCCTTTACTTGCTTCTTGTTCTTTACCGTGGACCACTCGTCAGGTTCAAGGGGTGTTCGGTCCTGCCAGAACACTGCTGAGCTGCACTAAGACTCGGCATATGATGCGCATCTGCATCCTTCGGCGAGATGAACTGCTCTTTCTTGTCGTGTTCCTTCTTCTCCTCCTCTTCCTTCAGCTTGCGCTCTTCCTGTAAAACAGATAGGTAGCCATAGAAGAGTGACATCAACATGCTTCGACAATCCCTCTGTCAACTGCAGTCCTTGGCTTGCTTTTTGTTCTTCACCGTTGACCACTCGTCCTGTTCTTGACTCATGTGGTCCTGGCGGTGCTTAGCTGTGAACACATAGGGCCTCTCACTCTGGTCAAGGTTATGGCGATCCTGTCTATGGCCAGGAAGGTGATCGTTCTTGACATCCACCTCTGCCTCCGCCTCCTCGTCCTTGGCTTTCTTCTTCTCCTGCCGCACATTCGAGATCGTCTGCGAGTAACTCAAGCTTTACATCCCACTTTGCCAGAACTCTGAATGCACTGATTCTTGTGCACTGGCCTTCGTCTGCTTCTTGCGCCCCACTGTCTCCCATTGATCTTGGCCATGGTTTGAACGGTCCTGGATTGCAACCGAACACGCTTGCCTTCCTCCTGTTTGCTGCATTTCCGCGGCTGCACCATGTCATACACTCGTGCACTTTGCATACACGCCTCGATGATGTTGGCAACTGCTATCTGGATCTGGTTCCTGGGCCCAGCTGATGATAAGAAAGACTCGAGTCCAATGCCACGCACTGCCATGCTGCCAAACACGCACGCACACCTGGATCTGACCAGCAGTCTAAGGCAAACACTCGTCGTAGTGACACTTCCGGACCAAGACAGCAATATCATTTCGGGAGTACTCAAAAAAGTCGAGCACACCATGCCTGGGCGGGCAAGCTCCGCGCAGTGCGAGGACAGAATACCCCTTGCAAGGTAGACAAGCATATTGCAAGTGGCTTGAAGTACCTAATGTGTCACTTTCTAACAGACCAGATTCTTCCTCTTGGAGAAACTGAGAAGTTCGGAAAATTGTTTGCCAGCCAGATGTTTGTCTCCGCTTGGCTTCTGCTTGGCCGGAGGGGAAGGAGTTCAGCTTGGGGCTGTGAACAACAGCCCGTATGGTGGGGAGGAGGCCTGCACGGTGGTTGGTGATTCAGCTTTGGTTTAAGATCCAGCAAGCTGCTACCATGAACGTTGCACTCTCTCAATATCTCAGCACCCGACAGCTGCTGGATGTACCTCTCTGCTCGAGGGGAATACCTAAGGCAACACCACAATGCACCGGTCTGCGAGCAAATGCAAAACCGGGCCCAAGGGCTTTTTCTCGTCAACGTCGCCCTTTGCAGCCACCTCTGATAGGTGTGAAGGGCTGCTGTACAAGGGTGCACTTACGGCAGCGCAAAGTATGTTCCGGACGGTCTCAAGCACACGCCTCGCAGTTGCCAAGATATCTGGGCACTTCAGTAATTCGCACTTCGCAAGCATTTCAGGCTTGGGCAACTGTTGGGCGACGCGAACATCCTTCGGTGCCTTGACACGGAAACAGACCAAAGTCCCTCTCGTCTCACTACCAGGGGTCGCTGGTAATGCCCAGCAAGATGTCAAGTCGGGGTCTCTGCGACGACAGGTGTAGCCCCGTTCTCTGCTGCGGCCGATCGTGGAGGCTGTGCCTGAGCTCAGAGTCTTCCAAATGCTCATGTGTGTTTCTTCTTCTCTGCCTTCTTCTTCGTCACGACCTTCTTCGACATGGTCGGACCTGGTACAGATGCCAGTCAGAAGCTCCGCTGTCAAGCAGTGCATAGCTGACCCGAACCTGGTGGGCAATGCCCCAGGCCTGTGCCCAGGGTCAAGCCCAACCGTCTTGAGCCGCAACTCGACATGGGTAGAGGCTGCAGTGAGCAACCATGCAGACAAAATGGACAATCGGTGCATGCTGTTGCATGCTTGACACACTGGGAATTTTACGAGCTTCATGGTTTCGCCATCCAGAAGCTCGGACAAGCGCTGGCATGCAAAGATGGCTGCCAGCACATGCCAACGTTGCTGCAGATTGCTTGCAAATGCAACAACAGTCGAAACTCTGTCGACCGGCTTGCGATACCCTTGTCCGTCTAGTCTAGTGCATGTGCGGCATCAGTTCAGCATCGCCGCATAGTCCACATACTCTTGAAGGGAAACGTCTCCGGACTGATCCTGGGCGAAAACGGAAACCGGAAAGGGCGGAAGAAAGAGCGATTTAAAGAACATGCAGATTGGAAGCTTTGTCGGAGTCGAGAAAGAACTGGTAAAGCTCCACATCAGATATCCCGCCCTTGAAGTGCGCGCGAACCTGCCATGCACAAAAGCCTTCACATGGTCAGTCGGGAGCCCAATGCGTGTACGTCCAGTTCTCGCCTCCTGAGCGTCCATCTGGTCATCCTGATCTTGTTGAAGCTCGGGAAAGAACAGGACAGCTCGAGCCACTGCGGTGGCTCCTTGTTGAAATCGACATCGACGAAGTCTTGCTTGAACTCCTGCATCTGGGCTGCAGTGACCTGCCCAATAGTAGTAAAGCTGGCTTGAACCTTGCATTTTGTTTTCTTCCAGCACGGCTGTCAGACCACAGATAAGTGCGCGACTGGCTTCGGCGTGCTCAGCTCCAGATTTTGTATGTGTGGTGGGATTTGTATCCTCAGCTCGCAAATGTATGCGACCTTCACATTGCTCACAGCGGGTGCAAAGCAACTGAGTGGACAACAAGGGCTCGGCCCCGACGTGTAGCAGCGAAGCCAAGCCCGCAACGAGACCAGCATCTGGAATGGCAAGTGGCTAGAGATGGCTAGAATGCCCAAAGAGCAAAGCTTCAACGCTATAAACGAAAGCCCGGCACCTCGAAGCAACATGGCCTCAACACATCCGAGACTCTGCGACAAGAACTCCCTCCAGAGAGTGTCCTTCTGCTTGCGTAGGGCTGGCATATTAATACTGTGGGCGAAGGTTTACAAGGAAACCGGACGTGACATTGCTAAAGGGCTGAAGTAGAGTCTTGACCTGATTTGGCTCTCTTGAAGTCAGCAGCAACAAACAATCTGCAAGCAAATGCGATCGACACCTTGACGCACATGTCAGCTGAGACAGCAATTTCTACTAGTAGCAGTGCCGCAGACTGGCACACCTTCCATGTGCCACGCACAGGCCGCGAGCTGAAGCTGCAAGCGTCAAAAAGTATCCAGCCTGGAGCACTGTGCGCTCACAGAAGCACTAGGACTCATCACATCGTCAGAACTCTGCCTGCCTGAACAAATGCAGGTTAGGCCTCTCCTATCTGGGCCTTGGGCCACTGAAAAACGAATCCTCTGCGAGCATCCAAAAGATGAGCTGTGCAGAGATGGGCAGAAGATGCTGAGGCGGGACGTGGCATCATGTCCGACACCTCTGGGAAATTAAAACGTCACAGGTTGGCGAAGGTGCGTTCGAACCTCTCTCTGATTGCCAGGAGCACGATCTGACAAGAGGCTTTCCCGTTCGGGTATACATGAAGCGGCCCTCGACTCTGTCGCACTTGCGGGCAGCATCGAGAATGCCAACGGATCTAAACAATACTGATCTGGTAGAAACAGCTGTGAAACTCAGCAAGTCCGAGAAACGTCCTCGCGACCTCGGTCAAAGATCCGTAGTGAGGGCCGGAAGGCTAGAAGGGCTCCACTGGCCGACAGGCACAGACCCGGTGTCATCTTGAAGACGAAGGCGGTCTCCCAGGCCTGATAAGCTGCTGGCAGTTAAACAGGCCTGCAGCTCTCTGGGACAGGGACCCGCTGGCCAGCAGGGCATCCTCCTGCTGGTTCTGATCAGCGAGAGGATTGAAAAGTTCCTGCACGGGCACCGAGAAGGAGTCTCTGCTTGCACTCCGTGACGCAGCGGCATCCTTCATTTTCACCTCGATGCTCTGCAAAGGCGTCCTTAGCTTCTTGCTTCTCTGTTGTGGAAGTCTAGTACCTGTGTCCTGCCATTGCCGGAACACCCGTCCTCATGCCAAACTCTCCGCCCACTTGTCTTGCTCGAGTCATTCAACTACGCATGCTTTGATTGCTGCAGTGGCGGCTCTGGCGGCTGGTGCTGTCAATACTGCTCTAGCTCTTGCAGTTTGCAAAAGTGTAGTCTGAGTATTGGTCTTGGTCATCGCAGCTTTGTTGGTCATATCTATTTGATTTTGTTGTCGGACTAAGTGCTCTTACTTTGCGTCCTGACTGGTGTTTGCGGTGTTTCGCCGATCGGTGTTGCCATCGATCGGGTATGCTTCTGGCATTCCTCCTCTGATCGTGCGTTAGGGCCTCATTTCTATAGTTATTATGCTCGATATGGCTATTTGGTTATTCTCTTGTGCGTGCTACTCCTCCTTATCCTCCTCCTACTTCCTGCTCCTGCTGCTGCCCAGTACCACTGCCACCACCACGACCAGATCACGATCACGGCCACGACGAACGATCACGGCCACGACGACGACGACGACTATGACTACGACGACGGACGACGCTGCACCAGGAAACGGATGGCGGGGTCGTGCATCGGCCGAATGCACACCTAAATTTAGGTCTGTTGGGAGGAGGATCTTCGAGGCCAAGGTATTCAGGAAGTCTTGGGACTTCAAGCGGTCTGCCCTTGAGGTTTCAGAGGGTTGCTTCAGGTTTCGGGCAGCCAGATTTCTGCAAGCCGCCTTCACCCCCACTTGTCTACAGAATCTCATGCTCTGCTGACGGAGACAATGCACACTCTTCTTGTGCATGCTTGTGCAATATGCCTGTAAGCTGATGGAAACGCTCTCGCCCCTCGCGTAAGCTACAGTAGCAACATGTATGCCGACAGAAAGCACCCATAGCCCTTCACGCGGAACCCAAAAGCCTTAGTTCTGGCTTCTGTTTGATCTGATTCGTGCCCGTTGAACAACTAGGCTCATCTGATTCAACCGAAGCCTCGAAACCCCCGAACCCCAAGGCTGAAGATCCTGGTTTTAACCGCCACTTTGCCCTGAACACTCACCCAATCCTCTAAACCCGAAACCCTGACGCCTGAAACCTTGAACCACCCTAAACCCTAAACCCGAAACGCTAACCCCCAAAGAAGAAACAAAACCTAGACCCAAATCCCATTGTCCTAAACCCTGAAACCCTGAGCCCGGAATCGCGAACCCCCCAAAATGTCAATGCAAAACCCCGAGCACTCGAACCTCCTGAACTCCAAACCCTTCAACCCGAAAATTGAAATTATGAATCCTAAATTCGACAACCTAAACCCTTGGTGCTGGGTTCTGTTTAGTCTGATTCGTCCTTGTCGGTTTGGTTCGTGCCCCGTGTCCGCACCGCGTGATCTGCTCCGCGCTCCTGATTTGTTCTCTACTGTAGCAGATCTGATGCGTCGTGTAAGGCTCATTGCCAACCATGGCCAGCCCATGACAAGTCTGCCCATGCTTTGAGTTCCTTGCATACATAACACAAGGCACCCAAAAACCAATAACTCGAGAACACCAAGGCACCATCAGCAACACAATCAGCATCATCACCAACATCAGCATCGTCATCACCATCATCGACACTGGCGGCGAGTGCCACGGGGACGAAGTGGATGATGGTGAGGAGATGTGATGATGGGATGATGGTGATCTTCGATCATCTTCTGGGAGCCGGTCTCCGGCGGCCGCGCAACGGCAGCAGCTCTGGCCATGGCATCGGTGCAGTCCTGGGTAGACCTGGCGGGGAAAGAAGAAGCGAAAAGGGACCCAGGGTTTCGCTGATTTTCACTGGTGGACTGCACTTTGAAAGCCCCTGGCTGGGTGCCGTAGCTCTTCACGAAATATTCCATGATGTTCGAGAGGCCGGGCACCTGCGCTGCAAGTGGTTGGAGTGCGCTGCCGAGCTAAAAACAGCAGCACATCCAGCCAGGCCTTCGGCAATTTGATGCCAACTTCAACATAGTTGGAAGTGACGATCTCATCACCATCCCAGCCTCGGCGATGGGTCCAGCACACCAATGTTTCCAACCGGAAAACGTCTACATCTCAGGCTGCCACCAACTGTGGCCCGTGTCCAACCAGCTGCGGAGATGGTGAGCCTGCGCCAGCGGGATAAGCCGAGCGGGGAAAAAGGAGGGGACCGCATGATCTCGGGCTGGAGCGTGGATCGGAACGGAAATCCCAACTGCAGGGTGAAGATGTTTTCGCCGTTCTGCAGCACGAGGTCTCCCTCCAGCCGATCCTACAACATGTAAGGATGTAACGTACACCGCGAGCAGTCTAGAAGCCAGCGAAGCACGTCTGCAGCATGCGCACCAAGCTTGACTGTCCTTGTAGGAGCTTTCTCCCCCGTCTCTCCCCGTGGTGGTTCGTAGGGTCGTCAGAAATCTTGGAGCCTTAGCCAAGTTTCCTGCTTAGATGCGAGGAGTCTCCCAGAGGAGGCTGCACCAGCTACTCAGCTACTCGTGTTAGGGAAGCGCAACAAGCGGGGACGTCCAGGCAGGGACTTGTCATTTCAAGAGTCTCCCTATCCGGGAATTGCGCGGGGTGACTGCAAGGCTGAGCACAGCCGGGAATTGCATGGAGCCTGAAACTGCTGGTAAAGGCCCTCCTGAGCCCTCCTGCTGGGATGGAGATGGTG